TCAGCACCTCCAATCTGTCCTACTCCACTACATTTTTATTGTCCTTAAGGGCAGCTTTACTCCTGCCACTTCCGGTTCAAAAAAAATTCCAGTGTCCACTTACTTATCGTCTATATCATCCAAACTCTTTAGTTTGGCTTTCAGAAGCTCTATACTCTAGATACAACTTATATGGCTTGGAATGCATCTGACCTACATTTCCTTGTATGTCCTGCCTTGTATGTTTCCCATTAGGGTGAGCCACAAGGAGGAGTTGGATGAAATTTGGAGAGCAGAAGGCAGCAGCAGCCATTCTGTGGCTCACACACAGTTTGGCTGATAACCGATTTACCTCATTGGCATGAAGTAGCAACAAAGCCTGCAACTTCTTTCTCTTCCCCTAGATCCTCATTCGGCATCTCCAAGTCCAGAGCCAAGTGTTTGTGTTTGGCTCTGTGATATAGGGTCCTAGCTTCTGTAGAATGGCTTTGACACCAAGGTCAGAGGTAACAAGAATTGACACTTCTTTCAACTCATGTTTGTGGGCTTCTCTTGATATCCCCTACTTTGCATTCTTCATGTCTTCCTGACTGCCTGACTGCGGACATCAAGTTGCAACATTAAGGAGGGAGGATATAGCTCAAGGGGTAGAGTACACATGCCTAGCATACACAAGGTCCTAGGTTCAATCCCCAGTATCTCCTCTAAAAATAAGTAAATAAGTGAACCTAATTACCCGCCCCCCACAAAATAAATAAAAAATAATTTTAAAAAATTAAATTAAAGAAAAAGGTCCAACATTAAACACGGAGACAACAGCTCTTAACAAGACTGCTTAACCAGCTCCCACGTTGTGTCAAGCCAATTCCCTGCAACAATAGACAGACAGACAGACAGACAGACAGATAGGTAGGTAGGTAGATCGATCTCCTATTGGTTCTGCTTCTCTGTCAGGAACACACTTTCCCATCTCCCCATCTCTACTTTCCACAGGCTTCCTCGTCTTTCAGCACTCAGTTCCTCCATGAAGCTGCCCTAGCCCCTACAGCTGAAAGTGACCCTCCCACCACACACACACACACACACACACACACACACACACACACACACACACACACACACACACACACAGTGGGACAGCCCAAGCAGACTACATGAAATCCCTAGAGCACTTAGCTAATTCTGCCTCACATCTTAGACATTTCTGCCCATGTCATTTTCCCCTCTACTACTAGATTGTGTTCTCCAAGGGCAGGGACCATGCATTGTACATTTTTAGACCTCGTGGAGTATTTCCTACTGGCCTAGCATTCTGTGCAATGAACTGGATTATACTAACTGAAAATTCAAGAAGAGAGGGCTGAAATGAACATGAAGGGCTTCAATATAAACCACTTGTTTCATCACTTGCCTACCTGGTGGGCACATGTCCACATGTCTGCCTCAAGATGCCTCTTCTCTCCAGCACAGCCAGGGAATTCAGTCTTCTAGCAAGAGAATACAGAAAAGAAAGATGGAAGAAAGCATACTAGTAAAAAATTATTTACTAATTCATGCAACTTTATGTGTAATAATGCCTATCAATGAGAAGGAGAAAAATCATCTGCAAGAATACATGTTTTTTTTCTTGCTATCAAAGTTCTTTTATAGGAGCCTTGAATGATATAATTTTATGAATTAGAGTTATTTCCCCAACTGGGAGAGTTATTTCGCCAGTTGGGAGTTATTTCCCCAATTGGGAAGGTAGCAATATGGATCACAGATCATTTTCAACATGTAGAAAAGTCTAACAGATATGGTTTAGCTGAAGAAAAAGAAAAGCTTTCTACTGCTAAAAAGATTGAAATTCTTTCTTTTTAGCTGAGACTGTTTTAGTTCAGGGTGATAATAAACATTACTCCAAGCTTATTGTGAACTGTGTATGTTCTTTTATTACTTTAAAAAAAGATGGAGAAATTTCTTGATGACTTCTTAACAAATACATGTAGTTAAAGAAAAAATTGCTTTAACACCTGAAATCCTTGTTGATAGAAATAATTAAGGAGAATCTAAAAGGGTAAAGAGCTTGGGACCCACTAAACTAAACTAGTAATAGATATAAGGATAGATATTAGAAACTGATCCTTCAAAATATTAAAAATTTACTTCCTTCTCATTGATGGGAACATCATGTTTAGTATGAATCTAAAATCAAATAATAGTGGCATCAAGTTTTCTATATAGTAACAGTAACTTGAGTGACTGCAGTGAGGTAATTCAACAGATTAAGGGGAACAATTTCAACAAAGAGGGAACACAAGAAAATAGCTTCTGAGAGTGTACTAGGTTTATACTACCAATTTCAATTTTAATTCAAAACAATCCAAATCAAATGAAAAACTTACCACTCTGCCTTCCTTGAAAAACTGCAGAAAATTAAGATTTATTTTGTAGTTTTCCATTTGTTTTACTGGAAGATATTCTATTTTAATTTTTTTTGTTGTGTTAGTTATATACTCTGTTGATTAATTCAACCCAATGCCAAGGAAGGCAGGAATTGAGATGCTGGCAGGTGTTACTGCTTCTAACAGATAGAATATGTAAGAGAAGAGCCAACTGGTTTCCATGTTGTGGTTTCAATTAAAGTTTAGAATGAATAAGCTCATCCAAGAGAAATTAGGATTCCAGTGGCCCTAAGGAAACTCACAAGATGAATCATTTCTGTTTTATTCCTAAAAAACATAGATTTTAAAGTTCAAGCAGGAGTCAAGTAAGCACAGATTCTCACTAACCAAGCTGCTTTGACAACATCTCCCTTCCAGGTAGATGCCGCCAGGTAACGCAGAGCAGACACTGAGACCTGACTAGAGGAGTCCAGTGGAGGCCCAGGGGGAAAGAGCAGGCAGGTGGCTGCGGGCACGAAAGTGGAGAGAGTGTTAAATGGTGTGATGGATCACTGAGACTCCAGTCATATTTAGTGTTTTGATATCACAATCGAAGGAAGAAATGAGGTATAATAATTTTTAACTGTAAAAATTTTCAAATACATACAAAGTACACCAAATGGTATAATTAACTCCCGTGTACCCATCACTCAACTTCTATAGTTATCCTCTCAAGGCCAGCCTTGTCTCATCATACTTCACTCATTCCCATGGTCTACATAATTTTGATGCAAGTCTCAGATATAACTATAACCTTTCATTCATATTTCAGTATCTCTAAAAGGAGCCTTTAGGAAAAAAAACACAACATCATTAACTCATCTAACAAAATAACAATAATTCCTTAATATCTTTAAGTATCCATTTTGTGTTTACATTTCCCTGGAGTGTGTCCATACACTTTTTTAAAAACATAAACTTAGAAAGTTAATTAACTCAGGTTTATGTTCTTGATTTCCTAATAAATTATAAACTCCTTGAACAGAGGGACTGTGTTTTGTTTATGCCTGCCTCCAAAAGCTTTGCCAATGCTTATGGCCAAATTTCACAGTAAAGTAATTAATTAAATGCATAATAAAAGAGTGTTTTATGACTTTCCATGTAACTACATTCACAAATCAGAAAAAAAAACATCACAGTACCTATTCAGATTTTTGGTACAGAAGATAGGGACAATAGAGCTCCTCAGTTTCTTGAGTTAAATTGAAAAGAAACTGTCATATATAACATAGTTAGGCAATTGCAAATCTGAAACATCTGGCTACTAAAAATCTCTCTTGATAGCTATCACAATTTCTGACAACCTGAGAAATTGATTCTCTAGAGATAATCTGTCAGTTTTGGCACAATATCCATGAAATAAAAGTAAAAGAATATCCCTGACAGGAGAAAGATGCATTCTGTGAATTTTAATACAAAAATGGAAGTTTTGTCTTGGAATCAATCAAGGTAAATACTTTTGAATTTCTATGCACAAGGGATTTTCCTTTTGTACTATCTCCCCACCTGTTTCCCTCTCTCATTTCCACCCCAATTCTAGTTCTTTTTTAGAGCGGACAAGTAAAATATATGGGTTTATAGAAAAAAAGTATGGGCTATGTATCCTTAAGCATAAGCCCCTAATCAGAAAAAAGAAAGCTATGCACCTCAAAATGTTAAATGCTACATCATTTTATAATAGCAAAAATTTTAAATAATCTGAATGTCTAAGATTAGGAGAATGGTCATATAAATAGTATTCTATTCAATTACCAGGAATAACTAAGGAATAATTATGAAGTTTTTAAAATTAGAATTATGAAGATCATGTAGCAACATGGAAAATGCTTATGATATATTAGGTAAAAATAATCAGGATTGAAATTCTATTAACACTATGATTTTAACTATGTAAAAGTGTACCTGTAAATAAAAGGCTGAAAGGAAATACAATAAAATAATAGTGGTTATGTTAGTGTGGTGGAATTATGTATGATTTAAAAAATAGTATACTTAAAAGATATATTACTAAATGAAAGAAGCTAGTCTGAAAAGGCTACAAACCGTATGATTCCAACCAAATGACATTCTGGAAAAGGCAAAGCTACAGAAACAATAAAAAGATCATGGTTTCCAGGGGTTTGGGGAGAGGAGGGAGGGAGGCATGAATAGATAGAGCACAAGGGACTTTTAGGGCAATGAAATTATTCTGTATGATACTGTAGTGGTGGCTACATGTCATTATGCAGTTCTCAAAGCTCATAGAATGTACAACATCAAGAGTGAACCCTAATGTAAACTGTGGGCTTTGGTTGATAATAATGTGCCCATGTTGGTTCATCGATTGTATCAAATATGCCACACTGATGAGGGATGTTGAGGGTAGGGGAGTATATATGTGTGGGTGGGGAGGGCTATGTGCAAACTCTGTATTTTATGCTCAATTCTGTTGTGAACCTGAAACTGCTCTAAAAGAATAAAGTGTATTAAAGAAATATATATCTAGCCTTTAGAATATACTAAATAAATATCAATTTCTTTGTTTTTCTGTTCCCTCTACCTAACATTTAAAAAATTGCATGATTGTAAATTTAAAAATTTTAAAGCTAAGGGGTGGGGTGGGGTATAGCTCAATGGTAGAGCACGTGTTTGGTGTTCATGAGGTCCTGGGTTCAATCCCCAGTGCCTCCACTAAGGGGAAAAAAAAGAGAAAAAAAAATTAAACCTGAAAGTATTAGATCTTTGGTTAAAGATATTAAATTTAAATATATTTTCTTCTTTGGACAGTGCAAATCCAGCTTCTCTCTCTCTCTCTCTCTCTCTATATATATATATATAAAACAATATTTCTATTTTTATATTTTTAGCTTTATGTATATAGTAATAGTGAAAGAATCCAATTAATTTTTTAAAATGGTAAAACAAAAGAAAATATAATTATTTTATTTCTTTTATTAAATTTTACTTCTCCTTTTACTTAAATATTAAATAGTAAATACTATAAAGTATTTAATAACACAAAACCTAGCAGGGATTTTTACACATTTAGGTACTTGACATATATTGGCTGAATAGATTTGAAGGAACTCATTTATTTGTTCATTCATTCATCAAATATTTATTGAAGACCTATTTCATCCAATGGAAATGAGTATTTTTGCTAATTTAGAAGAGGGCCAAATGGTTTTTTAAATTATGAAATATGCATGACTGCAAAAAACATAAGTGCACAGCTTAATAAACTGTTGTAAAATGAACCCTCACCCAGGTTAAGAAATAGAACATAACCAGCACCCCAGAACACTACCACGTCCAGTTCTGATCCAAACCCAGCCACACCCCAGTGGTCACTAGGACAGAGGTGGACGTGCCAAGACACTCAGGAAGCTCCAGGGTCCCTGCTTGTGGGGGTCCTTCCAAGGGCCCTGGAAATTCGCTTACTGTAAAATTTGCAAAATTTTCCCACCTTTGGTTAAGACCTCCTTGTACTTTCATAGCTAATTTTGTGTTTATAATCTCACATTTTTTTCTTAGAGTCCCCCCAAATCATCGAAGTTTCAGAAGTCACAAAATCTGAATTCACCCCTAGAACCACTATTCTGACTATTGGGTACTCTTTGCTTCCAGATGGATTACACAGTGTAAAACTGTCTATTTTCAAACTTGGAATGCTCCATATATTTCTGTGAGTGCTACTCACTTGGCTGCCCAGGGAGCTACTTACTTCAGGGAAGACTTGATTGGCCTTTCACAGGAGTATGGCTCATGGTTTGGGTTGGTGTTTCGCAGCAGTGGACCTCCAGAGCTGGGGATAGAGCTCAGCTTGGTTTTCTCTTCTTTCTGAGACAGACATTAGTCCCTCTCAGGTAGAGTTGCTAACAGAAGGCTGGCTTGTTAGGCACACAGAATATTACAACAAACCCGAATAGTTTGGCAGCATTTAGAAAGCAAGAGACTTCACACGAAAAGTTGGCTTTCTGACTTCTCTTAGGTGTTTGGAAGATGTGCCTCCTCTGGGCCCACATTCCCACCAGGCGTGGCACTGGCTGGGTGGAGCTCGGGAGCAGCTGCTTTTTGAGGCCAAACCTACTTCCTGAACCTCTTACTTTACTTACAGGGAGTGTTCAGTCCCTTTAGGTATTTGTGAACCCTGCTCTAACCCATTACCTTGTATTATTACAAAACGGTTTCTTCAGTGATCTTTAAAAATGAAATGTAAAGATAAAATGTAAAGGAACAAATTCCCTCAAAATACTCCATGATAACTTTCTTGCCAATGTTTCCTAAACTCTTTATAATGGTGCTAGCAGGGTACCACCCCAAATGGAGTTAAACCACATAAGTAAGAAGTAAGAAGCAGCTAAGTATAACTACAAATCAGTGGTTCTTGAATTTCAGGATGTATCAAAATCTTATCTGGAGACCTTATTAAAACAGACTGCTGGGTCCCATCCTCAGAGTTTCTGATTCAGGAGGTGCAGGGTGGGGCTGAGAATCTGCATTTCTAAGAGGTTCTCAGCCATTGCCTATTCTGCTGGCCCTGGAGCACTTTTTGAGAACCACTGAGGCATGCTACTCAAAATGCAGTCCCTGGGCTAGATGCCTGGGGCCCTTCAGGATTGGAGACTCTCAGGCCCTCTCTCAGCCAGTGTGTAACCAGAATCTGCAGGATCTGTTTGTGGGAACAGTACATTTTGAGATGCAATGGACTAACTTGTCATCCCCAAACCTTCCTGGTAAAAATCACTGGGGCACTTGTTAAGTATGCAGAATACCAGGCCTTTCCCTTAGACATTTTTTCAGAAATCTATTTTTGTCAAGCTCCAAGTGATACTTATCAGGAAAGTTTAGGGAAAATAGGCTAATGGTGGTATTAATATATTTAAAGACAGAATATGTTTTTAAACAGAGGGATGAGCAAATGAAATTTTAAAAATTAAAAAAATGGGAAGTCTCAGGGGAGAAAATTGGTAGCATGTCTTCAACCACTTGGAGCTCTGCAGCCGAAGGTATGCGTTCCTTTTGTGGAGAGAGATGCATCAAATTGTCAGATCCTTTATCATACACCAAACTCCTTTTACCTGGGTCCCTGCTTATCAAGAAACCTTGTCATTATAATTTGGCTTCCATGTGTTTTTCACACCAGGCAAAACACACCAGTGAAATGAATGTAAGTATTCTGATTTATGGCAGGTACATTTCTCACTATGAATCAAGAAATCATCATTAAGGTACTGACATATTTTTCTGTGGGTTCTAGGCGATCAAACCATTTTTGTTTAATAACAAAATCAAATTCTTAGCCAAATGTGTAGGTTATTGTTTGAGGAAGGGAGAAACACTTTTGCCCACAAATATTTCTTATGTGTGGATTCCACTGTATAGTTTTAACTTTTATATACATTCCCTTAAGCAAATCAGACTTTTTTCTGAAAGGAGAATTAAATTAGCAAACAATAGAAGTGTGCAAAATACACAAGAAATAAACATCTAAAAAAGCAAAGAGTTGATGAGGAAATTGTCTTTTTAATTCTTTCAATTTTTAAAAGTGAAATACTGGCCTTGCTGAGTCTTATCTTTTCCCTTAATCTGTCTTCACAGTTCCTGAGGAGGAGAGTAAAAATTTTCCCTTCTGCTTAAAAGACCTAAGCTGTCACTGAATCTACCTACTAAGTACATTTTTCCAAATATCAAATGTTTCCAAGGTCTTCTCAAGAAATACAAATCTCTGGATTCACGAATCTCTTTGCTTGCTCCCCTGTACATCCACCACCAAATTCCACAGTTTTCATCTGGGAAATTAACAAATTCCTTGTCGTTGTTGAAACACAGTATTTCTATTACAGTTTGAAGTGAATAATCTTATTCTAGAAATCTTATTCTAGAAATCTGAGGCCATCAGAGGATTGGTGTGTTGGAGGATGTTTCAATGCTAATCCCCCTTCTGAATAGAACAGTTTTTATTTCCAAGGTTCCAATTCCACCTAAAGTTGCACTGAGTGTTTAAAGGTGACGAGGCTGGCCAGTAGCATGACTGTGATCCTCTGGTCAAGTAAGTGTGGGGGTCCAGTTACCACTAAGTCCTCCAGGTTGAGCTGTAAGAGTGAGAAGATACTCAGCCAAGGAGGGAAGGCTTTCAGAAAATGAAAAAGAGGGGAACAAAAGTGCTGGATGAATAAAATTGCCTTCCTCCATCTGCCTGGCTACTTCAGGAGGCAGATTACATAGTTGGAAAGCAGAGAATTTTGGAATGAAAAGTCTTGGCTCAGTTTTGGTCCCAAAAACTATGAAAAGTACAATTGTATAAAAGTTACTCAATCTCAGTCCCCTCAAATGAGGATAATAGTGGTGATACCTCTCTTGGTAACAAAATGTCAGTACATTATAAAATGCTTTATAAATGTGAGTTGCTACTGTAGGTACAGTAACAAAACTTTCAAATATTGGTGTTTTTAGCTTAATTTTTCAATAATTTATTATTAGTCTTTAACCTGGCAATTCACTTCTAGGAATAGATCTTAACAGATATAATTGTGTATGTGCAAAATAAGGTACTGGCAAGTTATTCAGTGTAGCATTTTTTGTAATACCAAAATGTTGAAAAAAATCTAGATGTCCACCAATAACAATCTGGTTGAATAAACTGTCTCCATTTAGTGGACAAATGGAATTCTGTGCAACTGTGAAACTCCCTATGTATTGTTATGGAAGGATCTCTAACACACTTTACTAAATAAAAAAGCTAAGTGCAGAATTTGACTTTTATTATAGAAGGGAGGAAATTAGACTACACAGTTGTATTTGCTTTTGAGTGCATAAACACTGGAAATGTAAGCAGACAGGGTAGGGAGTCCCTGGAGAAAGAGAACTAGGCATGGCTTTCTTGACTTAAGAGAAGCCATTTTTGGCCTAAGCCATTTTGAGATCTAAGCTTGGCCACAATGCTTGCCCTTGAAGAGGTCTCAGTAATTAATAATCTTAAGGGAAGAAAGGAATGCAGGAACAAAGGAAAAGCAGAAACAAGAGTCAACTGAGCCTTAGATCCTCCTCAGGGGATATACATAACAGCTGATATGTATCTTTGAGTTGCTTTGCAGGAACTAAGGCCCCCACCCAGGTGGAGGATGGTAACTATAAGCTAAGAACCAAGACTGGTTGTAAAGTAAGGAATGATGATGTTGACCTTTTCTGACCCTCATGACTTCAATTAACTATAGCTTGGACTCTGTCCATTGCTCCAAGTCTATGCTGAATTCTCTCTCCAGCCCCTTCATGAATATGCCTACACTGCCCAAACCCCTTCATAAACACGCAGTGTATCCTTAGCTTAAAACTTACCCAGTTTTGCTGTTAGGGGAGACACTGCTTTGGGAAAGATCCCCAGTGTTCTCCTTACTAAGTAAGTAATAAATCCTTCCTTCTCCCGCTGTTTGGCTTGGTAGCATCTTTTGGCTCGACACCTACCAAGAGGCAGACCCAGTTTTTGGGTAACAGAAGGATACACAATAAACAAACAATAGTGGTTAACTATTGGCAGGGGTAAGGGGTCTGTGTGGGTGAGAGATTTCCACTGTATACCTTTTAATATATACGTTTGGATTTTGAACCAGGGGACTATATTACCTATCCCAAATTAATGCTTATTTAAAGGAGACTAATATTTACATAGCTAAGGAACAGAAGGTTGATGG